GGGTGAGCGCAATTGTGATTGGCTAAAGAAAACAATGAAGACTATGCGGTAAAAACGGTGTTTTGGATGCTGTTGAAAACTGCCTATATAAAGGCCCGTCCACATAGAACTTTGGCGTTGCGTTGGCGTTGGCGTCGCTTCAACAGCTGACTATGAATACATGAATTCAAATGCAGCCGTCCACATAGCCGAAATTCGACAACGCTCACGCCAACACAAAGCAAAAAGATGGCCAACTCTCAACTTTTCGCGTACGTTGCTCGTCAGCTGTTGCAAATAAATACAATTATGTGAAATATTTTTCCTTTTCAATCAAGTGCGGGCAAGAAATATCTTTTTTAGTGCAATTATTGATATGAAATATTAATTAATCTCTCGTTAGTATGTTAATTTAGTGGCCCAAGCATTCGCTGCTAAACGTTCATTGTAGCAAGCATACTTTTAACGTGCGTTCTGTCAAACCAACTCCAACGCCAAAGCCAACGCGAAAGTTCTATGTGGACCGGCCTTTAAGGGGTTAGCGGTAGGCCAGAAGTTAGAACTGCCTCGTGTTATTGAAATCGACATCCAGTGCGGGAAAATGTGAAAAGGTGCGGCGTACAAAAAAAAAATACCGCGGAGTGTCCTGTTTTTTTGTAGTTTCTAAAAATCCTAAGTAAGGAGAGGAAACTAAGTGTAAGTGCGCCAGAAAGGTCCGACAATATACGCGCTAACACAAGAGGACTCAATTCCGGAAGTTAAGGACCCTCCTAAAGTGGAAGAAAGGCTACTTGGCCGGACTTGGAAGGCCACGGAGTGGTGGTAGGAGTAAAGCACCCACGGGCTAGAGGCAGTGGAACAGGCAGGAAGTCCCCCGGCGAGATGTAAGTAAGAAACGCTTAGAAGATCAAGTTAGGTATTTATTGTTTTTTTTGTTGTGATTTGCCCTAGTGTGCCAGGAGTTTAAATTTGTACGTCCGTACGTGGATGCAGAAGGGTGCGGCACAACTCGCTGGTGAGTGGTAGATTTTTAAGATATGCGAAATTTTTTATCTTTTACGAATGTGTTGAGAGGGAATGCCCCATATCGCCATAGCGTCAGGAAATTTTATTGGTGTCACCCGTTGAGTCGGTCAGCATGTGCCACAACCACTATGTTAATTAACATTGTGTGAAGCTTTTGACCATAAAACTGCAGCAGGGAAACGATCTCGAGGAAATCCAGGGGCGGAGTCAAGGCAATAGCTTTAAGATATTAATATTCTTTTTAACACATTTTCTGTTTCCAAATTATTCACTTTTAATTCGGGTGTAATTTTTGTCGGTGTCCCGTCAAACCAGGAAAACGCCAAACCAACAATACCAATTTTAAAGAATTTTTTTTTGGAGCTGAGAAGATCCGGCTCCCGGAAAACCATAAATATATATCTGCTTAAGAGAGCTCTTTTAGGTAGGCTGTTAGAGTTTCCTGTGGATGTTGCAGCGCCATAGTTGCGCTTTCATGTTTGGTTTTTTTTTTTGTGCGATAGGAAATACCAGTCGAGATTCGTGTAGTATGTAAGTATTTGCGTATATTATAAACTGTGTAGTTTTTGAAATGTTATGTAATAAATATTGTGTTATAATTTGAAACTGATGAAAGGAGCCCTAAATGACTGGCTAAATTGATATAGGAGGGAGGGGAAGATGACGAAGGGTAGAAATTGAATGAAGTGATTGGAGTAATACCAAAAAAGGGGAACCGCCGGAAGTGAACAACCGGAAAGAGCGGTCCAAGGATGGGTGGGCTTCCTGTGAGACGATATGTGCAGATGACGATTGGAACATCCGCCTCGCCTCAATGTGGCCAAGGGTTGAGAACCGCGCCAATAACATATGCTGAGCTAGCATGGGTAACCACATTGATGGCAGAAAAAA